GCGAACAATAGCGCAATGTTGCCGCTCGCCGGGCCAGGCTCTCCCGGTTACACCACGGCCGCCGAAGGCGAGGAAACCGGGTGGCGCTTTTTTATAGTCACGAGTATAAAATCGGGGCTTTCTCCCCTTTCGCTCGCCCCCTACCCCAACGCCGATAGAAAGCAGATAAATTTATGAAGGGCGAGCTAAGAGAATAATTACAGGGTGAAGGCCGTTAAATTTTATTTCCAGTCCCAAAGGCAAAACCTGCGATTTTATTGCAAACATCTGGAAGGACCAAGAGGTGGGCACGCTGCTGGTTTAAAATAAAAACAAAAGATTTTATTTCGCGAAAACAAAAAAACATCATTAAAGACCCTTTCGCCCCCACGGACATTTATTTTAAAAAGTGTGAGGGGGTTGTTGAACAGTCAACGACGCACGCCGGTCCCGAAGCTCCTGGCAACCTGAACCAACCCGGAGACTCGAGATGCGGTCTACCGGAGCGGGCCTGCCAGCGGGCAGGCATTTCCAGAAATCGACCCCCTCCCACGCCCTCCCCGAGGGCTCCAGGCCAGTTTTGCCACCCTGTAACTGGGCGCCAATTTGGAAGAAGAAGTGAAAAGTGGGTACGTTGGCCTCATATTCCCCGAAGAGGCGGTCACAGCAACCATAAGACCTCAGGTCTGTTCCGCCTCCCACCGATTATCTTGCCTGCTTTGTCTAATTGTAAAGTATTTAGGACTCACTCTGCCCACAGGGAAACTGAGGCACCGGTCATTCATCAGCTTGCCTGAGGTCACAGTTTAGAGCTGAAGGGGACTTTCAGCTAGGCTTCACCTGCCTTGGAGTCCGGAGGGTCACCTCCCACCCCATAGTCGCCTCATAATGTTTTATATCTAGTGCCTAGACAGGCTCAATTCATTGTAATTGCCTCCCCCCAACAGAGTGTCCTGCCCACGTGTTTAAGGGCACACTAACATGTCCTGCTGGCAACCGTTTTTAACATTGTTTTCAATTACTCAAGACTGCAACATCACACAGATCACCTTGTATTGAGGCATTAGCAGGGGTGGGACTTAGGGTGGTATTTAGTGGGGAGAAACCCCAGGAAGACTGATTCGTGGGGGGGGGGAGGGTGCAGGAGCTGTGTTTCCAGGACTCCTGTTTTTACACTGCAGAACTCTGGTGTTCCTTTGAAAAATCAAAATATCCGGACATGGTCGATTATAGGTGAGCAGTCATCACGCTGCCTTTTCCTTCTTGGCTTTCCTCCTGTCAAGGCTAGGACCAGGCACCCATTTCCCATCTGTCCCTACCGGTAGTCAGTGAGCTTCTCTTCCCCATTCCCCCTCGATCCCCTCTGACTCCTCCAGTGCTGAATAACCTCTGCCTCTTGGGGACCCTGCAGGG